AATCTTACAATCATACGGGATTGAACATCTACCTAATCATACAACTAAATATACGCATAATTATAAATCGCACGCTTTTACATTAAGCCTCTCGGCTACGCAATCGATGGGGGAAATTTCCTATTCCCAATGGGAAGTAAACGATTGGTTTAATAATGGGCCATGCTTGGCGAACTCCGTTCCATTATTGGAACATTAATGGCAACCATCATTGGACCACCAATGGTTTAAACTTGGGATGATCACGCTACTGCCAATGATCGGTAGCCAAGCATCGGGCCAATATTAGTTGCCAAGGAATTGCCAAGGAGACAAAATCGATTTTCAAAAGCTTGATTTTTTATTGGCAGCCAACAAAAAACCAAGGTTTTGAAAATTGATTTTTCTTAATTATTAATTAAAATTTATTTTTAAAAAATATATTTTTCAAAAATTTATTTTAAAAAAACATATTTTTTAAAAATATATATTTTTTTAAATTAATAGAACATATTAATTTAATTTGTCACCTCTGGTAAAACAAAGATGAAAGACTGATAAATTCCCTCACTTTATATTTTACAGTGGAGGGATAACTGTGAATGTCTTTGCGAGAGAGGAGCAGGTACTTATATAGAGCCAGTGAAACAGGTCACAAGCGAGAAGAAATCACTAGCATGCACTCTGGCGGCGCTTGTCGGAACTGTTTTCTGGCGCGCATGCATATCCTGACATTATCGACACAGCGCTTGGCAACCAACGTTGCGCCACTTCCGACAAGCGCCGCCAGAGTGCATGCTAGTGATTTCTTCTCGCTTGTGACCTTTCTCACTGGCTCTATATAAGTACCTGCTTCTCTCTCGCAAAGACATTCACAGTCATCCCTCCACTGTAAAATATAAAGTGAGGGAATTTATCAGTCTTTCATCTTTGTTTTACCAGAGGTGACAAATTAAATTAATATGTTCTATTAATTTAAAAAAATATATATTTTTAAAAAATATATTTTTTTAAAATAAATTTTTGAAAAATATATTTTTTAAAAATAAATTTTAATTAATAATTAAAAAAAATCAATTTTCAAAACCTTGGTTTTTTGTTGGCTGCCAATAAAAAATCAAGCTTTTGAAAATCGATTTTGTTTCCTTGGCAATTCCTTGGCAACTAATATTGGCCCGATGCTTGGCTACCGATCATTGGCAGTAGCGTGATCATCCCAAGTTTAAACCCATTGGTGGTCCAATGATGGTTGCCAATTGTTTTGCCAAGAAAAAACCATTGGGTACCAAGCATGGCCCATTATTGAACCAATCGTTAACATTGGCAACTTCCCGTTGGGTTTAAAAAACATTCCTTACCAATGAAATAAATTAGAATATGCGTCGATTTTACTTTGTAATTAATGTAAGTATGGATGTCAACAATATTCATAATATTGAATAAATAATATTGTCAACTAGTTTAAATTTGATACGGTTATTAGAATTTAATAATAAATAAATAAGAAACATTAATTTTTTCTTAATAACCTTGAAACCTTTTTTAAGTTTGACAGTCCTCATGGTAAATTTGATTATTCTTTTTTTTCGTGTACAAAATAGTGAATTGACCTAAAATGAAATGTATAATTAATTATTCTCACAGCAATATTTAATAATTTAATGAACTTAACTGCACTGCATAATAGTTGAGAGTAGTAAGAGTAAGTGAAACGGTAAGATAAGTGAACGACCATTAGTGTGAGAGAGAGAGAATAACTTGTGGTTTTCGAGTAGGTATCTACTTTATGTGCACGGCGTTCATTTTTCGAAAGAACTGGACTGAGTACTATTTGTTCAATATTCGCTTCTATTATTGACTTGTGTTTTGTACACTGCCGCGTTCTTTTAACAATTAAATGAGAAAGAAATTTCTCATTCCAATTTTTTATACTCTTATTCCCTCTTAGACTATATAAACAGTCTTGTTTAAGCTGATGAATGGGATAACTTGTGTTGAGTCCCAAACTGTTCAGCTATGAAACTTCTAATACTATAGTGTGTACCTGTCACATATTATTCTATAAAGGAGTACTACACTGACTGCATAAATCATTTTTCCATTTTTCTCCGTGTAGATAAATACAGATGCAGATTTAAAACCTAATTATTAATATTTAAGCCAGATTTAAACAAATTATTATTGTTTATTTCTAATTATTTACGGAATAGTATACTAGAAAAATGCAGTTTTTTTTAATCATGCAAATTTACCAAACTTTTTCAAATCCCGATTAACATTAAAAATAAAATTATAATTTAAACAAAAATAAGAATAATAATAATTTGTTTAAAAATTGTTTAAATAATAATTGTACTTTTAATTTTAATCTTGGAATGTCCATGCCAAAAAAATTAAAGTTGTCCCCTAGTTCTTCGATTTCTATGAAACTTCGAGAAATTGGCACAGAACACATGCAAATGAAAAGTGTGAAAACGATTTTATAATTATTTGTTAATCACGATTATAAATATTAAATAAATAACAAATTGCCTATATTGAAATCTTTTGAAATTTAAATACTTTCGGAGACATTGAGAACAAAAACACTTTATTGAGTTTACAAAATTAAGTAAAATTATCTTTTGGAAAGCAAAATAACATACAATTAATATTAAATTTAATTGTTATTAACAATTATTTAAACAATTATTTTAAACAGATGAGTTTTAACTGAAGTAAATAATGATAACATTATTTAATTTGTCATATCAATTTAAGAAAATTTATTAATTTTTTGTTAATAAAAAATTTTTATAACAATAAACCGCAGCACAACTAACACACTTATCCTATCGTTAGTAGGTATGTAATATCATTATTTACTTTGTCAAAAATATTTCATAAAATTTATTAAATTTTTGTTGCGAAAAATGTTTATAACAATAATTGTTTTAAAAAACTATGTTTGTTAAGCTTTTATTCCAGAGCTCTAATAATAAACTTCTGATTTTATAGAAATCAAAGAACTAGGGGACAACTTTAATTTTTTTGGCATGGACATACCCAGATTAAAATTAAAAGTACAATTATTATTTACACAATTTTTAAACAAATTATTATTATTCTTATTTTTGTTTAAATTATAATTTTATTTTTAATGTAAATCGGAATTTAAAAAAGTTTGGTAAAGAATGATTAAAAAAACTGCATCTTTCTAGTATACTATTCCGTAAATAATTAAAAATAAACAATAATAATTTGTTTAAATTTTGCTTAAATATTAATAACTATGTTTTAAATCTGCATATTCTGTATTTATCTATTTATGTAAGGTCCGGTAAATTGCAAAATTGGAAAAAATACACCTCTCTAGGTACAATATGTAAAAAGTTAGTAATTAACAATAATAATAATAAATTGTTTAAACAAATATAAATTTAAAAAATGCACAGTATTCTTACAAATTTATAGCCTGACATTTTCCAAAAAGAAAAATTTTTAGGCATGGAGCTACCCTGTTCTAATATTTTTTAAAGCTATGGCCAAACAACTTTTTTACAAAATTTAAAGTGCAAAAACATATATAGTTTACATAACTTTATGAAATGGGCTGAAAATACTCAGGGATTAACACGAAATTTTCGTTTTGTTCAGTTATGTTTATTATTATATACAAAACGAAAGTCTATAGGTACATGTTTAGTTTTCAACTTTGAAGCAAAACAAAAGTTCATTTTTTGTTTTCTATTTTTAACAAATTTTTGGTTAAGTAAAATAACATCAAGAAAAGAGATTCCTTTTTATGAAAGGAAGCATTTGTTGTTACTATACTATAATATTTAATTTTCAAGAAATCATTGTTTTAAAAAAGCTTATAGTTTTTATTATTTGAAAAAATAATCGATTTAACTTGTAAATTAAATGAATTAAATATATCATCATATGCAATGAGAAAAGGCATTTCTTATTTTGAAGTAAGATTTAATTGGGTTTATTTAGTTGATAAAATTGGTAATCTTACTTGCAGAATAATATTGTTTAAATGACATATGCTTCATTTAAAAGAAACTTCATTTAAAAAAGTTTTAAATTCATTAAGGTTTTTAGATTTAATGCTTTAAATTTTTTAAAAGAAATGACAATTTTGCTCGCAATTTTGTTCAGTGATTTGAAATCTGCAAATAAATTAGTGTTAAACCCAAGCAGACATTACAATATTCAATACTGCTTGCGTACCACTATAGTAGCCCGTCTCGATATCGTGAAGGTTAAATATGTTTGAATTAAACTTAGATATGGTTGACTGTATAGGAAAGATTATTTAAGTTTTATGTAAATATAATGCGTCAATCATTGACCTCTTTGATTTGCTAGATTCGAGAATTCATTAAAATTGTATAGTTTATTTCTTTTTAAAGACGAAATTAAATGTGACAGTTTTTTGTTACCGCCTTAAAGACGAAATTCATAAATGTTTTTAATTTCGATTCTATATGTTTAAACAAAAGCAAAATTGAATGTACATTGTGTTTTGATGATGGTTCCTAAAAATACTTTTATTTGATGTTCCCGGGGAGACCTAAAATTAAAAAAAATTGAACCCTTTTGCTCTTGCTGCATGAGATATTGAGGCTAATGTAATGTTAGCACACACAACACACACAAATATATATCCGGACATTTTTTAAAAATGAGTTTTGGATTTCTGAGGTCAAATTATATCAAAATATGTCAAAAAATCGCAATCGAAAATCTTTGCCAATAGTATAGTTTTTATAATTGAGATCTGTAAAAGAGAGCATCTATCCTGTACTTTACCGCTTATTTTAAATAAACCGAAGTAGAATAATTTCTGCACAAGTTCGAGATTTCTTATGTTCAGAAAAAATAATAATTGAAAAAGGAAGCAAATAGGGGTTAAATCAAGAGATAACGATTGAGTCAATGAACTTGTAAAGAGAGAGAGAGTGCAAAAGCAACTCCGTAATACAAAAGGCACCAAGGGAAGTGTGTAGAGTGAAGTTGGATGACGACGACGACAAAGACAGCGGCTGATCATTGGTGGACAGAATCTAGGAAAGCTCAGTGGTGGGGAGAGTGGAGCAGGTTGCGAGCAGTCCAGGTGAGGGAGGGTGCAAGGAGGACAAGAGGCTTATCGTCGACGGCCGCAAGTCCGCGACGTCGACGCAACGAGTTTACGAGAGGGAGAATATACGGAGGAACGTCGTTCAGAACAAGGAGGAGGAAGAGTTCCAGTGGAAGGGGTTCCTGTGATGTGACGAGGAAGGGGGTAACGGGGAGACCAGAGAGGGTGGAGAAAGAGGACAGAGAAGTCTCCTCTGTCGGGAGACAAATCCATCGCGCGTCAGGAACTCGTACGGACCGAAGGGATATATTAGTGATCCTCTTAATTATAGATCGGATCTATACGTGGGATAATTTTATTCATTTTATATACTAGATTTTTAAATTGGTTTTTTTATTGATTTCGGTTCGTGAACTTCTATGAATACAAGTGTTGCTAATTCAGTATTGGATAATTTATGAGAATTAAAAACTATTAGAATAGTGGAGCGCATGGCTCACGACGTTCTTAACAAGATCTGTGCTTTGTTTTTTCATTTGCTGTCCTGTGTCCAGCGATGAGATCTAAGCCGATTGCTAGAAGACTTGCACAGGGTGAGTTTTCGAAGATCAATGTTAAATATACATTTAATCTTTTCATTATTTTTTTTATCAGGATGTTAATACTTATTTTACACATAGTTTTAAAAAGTGAATACATCCTAGAATTCCTTTGGAAAACCTCTTTTGGTTAATAGTATATCTACTTATATGGTCTGCTTGTATAGTTAAGAAGTAAATTAATTATTCAGTACTTTTAAGACTCTTTGAAAAGTATGTAATTGTTATTACTGATAAGCTTTGTTTAGACCAAAACTAAAAGTTCTCTTTAGAGATACAAAAATCTGGTTATTTGAGTTTCATTATAATTTACTCTACCGCCTTTTATTTAGAATATAGTTTAGAAAAATATACATAAGAAAAGAGGAACTGTAGTTAGCGGAACTGTATCCAAAAATAATTTACTTTGAACAATATTTTATTCATTATTTCAATTTCGAAAAGTGTGTTTATTGTTTTTGTTCATTTTCATTTCATTTTTGTTTAATATTTAGTATTAAAATTGTTATGTCTAATGCTTTGTTTGATAAGTTTTAAACATAATCCTTGAAGACATGGACGCAGAACTTTTTCTTATTTAAAGTATAGGACTTTAGGAGTCGTTCACAAACTACATCACACTCTTAGGTTTGGGTGGGGACATGTAGAATAAAAATAATAAATGTATATATAAAAATATGAATTAAAATAAAAAGTGTATTCTGTATGTAAAAAATGTGATTAAAGAAGGGGGGTTAAAAGTTAGTCCAATATAGCGTTACATACTTTGTGAACGACCCCTTAGCAAAGATCTTGTTAAAAGCAATACAAAGAGAAATGGGTGTTATTTTAACACTGAATATGGTGTTACAACCTGTGAAGAAATTTCCCTAAGTTTCTTTACCTGAAGCTGAAGTTTAGTAGGTTTCTAGTGGGTAAAAATGTAGAAAATTGGTTAGGGCTATTTTAAGTGACGCTCGATTTTTTTTTTAAATTTAGGAAAATTTTGCAAGAGCCGTACGAGGACTGTACAGTGGCATATAGAGAACTTTCATTTGACAGTCATGATTATAGGTTACTTTATATACATTAGGTATTTAATATAAATAACATTATTAAAAAAGTTAAGTACACTTACTTAGTACTATATAAATTTTGAAAACAGATCAACATAAATTAATAATCTGAAAGTAATTATACTTATTATTCATTATACAAATTGGGTAAAATTTGTTATTATTATATTCCAATACATAGATACATAATAAATATAATATAATTATATTATAAATAAAAATAAATAATATAACCTAAAATTGAGTAAAAACCGACAAGTTGTACATGGAAAGAAAATGTTTAAAAAAATTTTAGTGTATATATTTCAGTAATAGGGACATTTTATTAGATCCATACAAGAATTCTACTACAATTTTTTCATGGTTAGTCTCTGTGAGAAATTTATAATATCGAAAGTGTTATATACCAAAAATTAGAGAAATTAAAAATTTTATTCCAATTCAGAAGATAAAATTTTAGCCCATATTCAGGAGAAAATACTAATTACAGAAAATTAACTACCGAACCTGGAAAACTACCCGACCTGGAGTCGAGAAACCAAAATAGTTTTTATAAGTGACAATATGCCATTATTAGGTCGCACTACATCCAATTACTGTCAATTATAATTTGTCACCGTAGATTCAACCATTTTTCCGATATCACGGAAAAACCTTGGACTAATTTTTGTTGCAACTCAAAATATGTCTATGTTAAATGACCAGGCCCGGTTAACTCTATTGTATGAATGCGGCAGTTTTTGTCGCCACCTACCACCAACATAGTAACTAAATTTACCCCAGCTTGTACATCTATACATACAATAGATATAGATAAACTGTATACATATCTATATACACACATCATATACACATATACATCTATATACACACATATCTGTATACACATCTATATCTAGCTATTATATATATATATGCATATATATATAATAGATATAGATATACAAGCTGGGGTAAATTTAGTTACTATGTTGGTGGTAGGTGGCGCCAAAAACTGCCGTATTCATACAATAGAGTTAACCGGGCCTGTTAAATGACATATAGAACGTGGTGCCATCTACGAGGTTCATTTTTGTTGCTGCTCATAATGAGTCACTTTTGCGACTCATTTTGAGTTCAATTTTTCTCTATGAGAACAAGTTGTTCATTTCATGATCATTTAGCTTCCTCAATATAATATATACCAATTGTTTAATTTTTTATTTTTGAATAATTATTTCAAAGTGTTAAGAAAAAATTTCAAAAAATAAAAAATTTCAATTTTTTGTAAAAAATAAAAATATTGATTAATTTTATAAATATTGATAAAATGTATACTTTATATACATGAATTGATTCGTTTTCATGTCGGGAATACAATTTTGACAAGAATTAATAAAAATTTTAATAAAGAAAAAAGTTATTTTAAAAATACAAAAATCAATTTTTTTAAAAATTAAAAAAATGATAGAAAATTGTTTTTCACATATTTTTGAAAATCTTGTCTGGTTATAGGTATTCATGACCGTAATACATCTACCAAATTTTATCAAAATCCGTCAAAACGTGTGAGAGAAAATTTCTCCACAAGAATCGGTGACATACACTGTTAAAAATTTTTGTAGGATTTTTCAGAAACAAGCAACGGAAATTTTATGCAGTTACATCTTACGTAAAATTTAGCAACGTTTAATTTTTTTCAGATACATAGGACTGAACAAATATTCAGTCCAATTCACCAAAAATTTTGTGACCGTTTCGTAATTTTTCGTAACACGTCATTAGCTTGAAATTTATTTTATTTTTCCTGAAAATTTTGCTACAGTTTTGTTCAGTTTTGATAAATTAACTATATGTAACTAAAATGTTACATATTGTTTAATAATCAGAACTGAACAAAACTCAAAAAATATTTTCAATGACACTCATCAGGGATAGCTAAATAGAACATAATTTACATTAAAATACAAAGTATAATTTAAAATGTACAACTTCATTATTTCTAAGTTTGTCTTAAAATTTTTTCTATTCCACTAAATTTTCAGTATAAAAATTATTTAAACTTAAAAATATTTAATAATAATGCTAATGTTTAAAAATGATTTATTTGCGGTTTATAAATAAATTTGGTCAAAAAATAACTGGTAAATAATATTAATAATATTTATTTCTTACTTTTTATACACAAAACTATTTATTCAATCAAATAATATTAATCATTCATTTATTAGTAATTAAATTTCATAAATATAATTCAATTAATAGTTTGAAACAAAAGTTTTCTTTCACAAAATGTATCGTTCCTTTGATTCCTCTGAATATCACGCTCATCATAGTTACGGTACTGGTTCCTAGCATGGACATTCCTTTCTGCAGGACGATTTTTCTTCAAAAATATTTAATACGTGTAATGGAGTACGAATAAAAATAGATTTTGTACATACTTTTTATTTGTAGAAATATGCTTCTACTTTTTAATCCCAAGAATGATCACTTATGAAAACTTTAAAAATAATTTATAACTCTTCTTTACTTATTTAAATACTTTATACAATAAAACATTGTTTACGCACAACCACTTTTTGAAGGGAATTTTCAGTTATGTATTTCCTGCAACAGGCCCAAGCGGCGCAAAAGTAACTGTGCGCATCTTAATTCAGCTGTAGTAACTGAAAATTTTGTTACAGTTTATGATTATACTGATAATGTATAAATTATAACAATAAATGACGAGATCCGCAAGTTGGATCCGCCCTAGTACAGACGTAACATCCACATAGATAATGAAAAGTGTTATTTTGAGCTTTTTCTTTTTTTTATAAATTACTAATTTTACAATAATAATAATAAATAAATAAATAATAATAAAATAATAATAATAATAATAATAATAATAAATTAGCCGTTTTTTTAAATTGTCTTTTTGGCTTCCAAGTGCTACGAAAAACTAAAAAATAAAAATCTTCTCAGTGTTACCTCAAAAAACATCTCCTTTAACAAATGCATTTTCATTTTTTTGTTTTCAATGATTCTGTTGCAAGTAACAGGTGTACACCGCAGACAAAATTTTTTTGCAGGCGCCTTAGAAAATTCACCTTTACTCGCTCAATTTTCAATATTTTGCCATAAAAATTTGGAAAAATGTTGTTCAAACGTTGCAGTATTATATAAAAATTGATATAATAAATTATCTCTCTCTGCATAGACAAAAAAAATTCTTAAAAGTATGCTTTTTTGACGAATTAACAAAGGTTTAACAAAATAAAATTAGTGTATCAGTGTATAAAAATCATAAATTTTGTTACTTAATTATAATAAATTGTATGTATAACCTAAATAAAAGAGTATTACAGTTTTATTTTGATGCAAGAAAACGATCAAAATTGATAAAATTTAATTAATACTAGAACTTTATGAAAAACCCAGTTCAGTGACGGCCACTCTCCTCTTGATAAATATTCTGTTTTCTAAATTCTCTTGGGTATCACAACATGCTCTAACCTGTTATAGTAATATAGTTACAAATAGTAATTGTGAAATTTAATTCATACACGGAGAAAAAAGGAAAATTAAGGATAATATTAAACTTATTATGAGGAATGTAAATTTAACACTCCTCAGGTTAAGTTCTAAACAGAATAAAAGTGTCAACTTTTTCAAGTTTGACACTCCTCATAGTAAATTTGATTATTCTTTTTCTCCGTGTAGTTTTTTCGAAAGTATTCAATTGATACAAAAAATTTGAATCAACTTATGATTTGATCCACATATTTCATATCAATTGGTTGCAATTCGATACTTTAAAGTTAGCAGTGTTATTGATAAGTTAGAATCATAGTCGCAGTAGATTTGTTTGATTAATTATGACTACGATTTTATGATAAAGTGCACACAGTAAAACACCTGTAGCTCAATTTAATGAACGTCTCATAGTAATATATAAATTGGCCTTTCTTAAAA